GAGAGAGAGAGAGAGAGAGAGAGAGACCAGAGTAGCACCCAATTTGGCTCGTACTCAAGCGGACGGGCACCGAGGCGAACCTCAGCTGTCAACGGGCAACGCGCACCAAAGCGGAGCTCTGAAACACGCGCGCGCGAGATCAACCCCCCATGCGATGCTGACTGCGTCAGCCTCTCCATGAGCATTGATTTTCGCTAAGAGGTCCGGACATGGCGTCCACCGCTCGTACACGAGCACCGCATTGGATGCATCCCTTTTCGGATCGTGTCGCATAACACGGCGGGGCAAAAACGTGCCATTTCGCCGGCCAAAACGTCGGGCCCGATGACGCGTGACACAGCCGCGAGAACCACTGCAAAGTCTGCTGGGTCGGAGAGGCTCTCGGAGAGTGCGTCGCGGTCCCGAACAGACAAAACAGCAGCCACCGCGCAGCGCGAAAGCGCTAATTACCATCAGGCCAAAATGGCCTACAGGGCAGCTTGCAAGCCAAAAAGGCTCTGCCGCATGACCCTCTAACTCCGGCTTCCCCTGCCTTTCCCATCCCCCTTCCCCTTCTGGGTCTGATTGCGCTGCCGGCGCTGGTTGCGCGCGTGCACTGCGTCGTCGACGGCGCGCTGGTTCGCCTCGGCGTCGAACGGGGCCCGCGCCCAGTCGGACCCCCGAATGGTGCGACCGCGCAAAAACCACGGAGGCGTGGGCACCGAGAGCGGACACCAATCGCCCTGCACGTAGGGCATCGACGCGAGCCAGCCCCTGCTCGGGCGACCCGCGGCGCTCGTGCACTCCATCGCCATACCCAGCAGGATCGCACTCCTGCGCTTGCCGCGCGTGCGCTGGAAGGCGATCTTGCAACCCCAGTAGCGCGCCAGCGTCTGCTGCAGCCAGAGCGCCGCAATGTAGCACCACGAGGCGACGCCTGCGGGGTCGCCGTCGTGCTTCCGCCCGCAGCCCCGAAAAGCCCAAAGATTGCCGTACCCAGCGCGCTCGCCGTTCTCCTCCTAGAGCTCGTGCATGTAGCCCCGGGGACACGTGCCCGCGGTGTCGAAGTCGCGCGTATGCCTCCCAGCACATCCCACCGAGCGGCACTTCATGACCGCGTTGGTCTTGTCGGCCATGCTCTCGAAGATCTTCTTCGCGCCGACCCGCGAGAGACCCCACTCTGCGCCCTCCGCGGCGGCGTAGAGGTGGAAGACGGGCACGAGGACGAACCACTCGTCGACCACTCGCTGCACGTCGGCGTCGCTGGAGCCGACGCAAGCCAGGCGCGCGTCCGCATTCGGGCTGTCCCAGTCGAACCGGTTGGAGAGCCCGGCGGGCCGCGCACGCACCCGGCTGCTCCCGCCGGAGAAGGGCAACATGCGCGCTGGCCCCGGAGCCGTCAGGTGAGCCGCCGCGGCCGCCGCCTGGGCGATGGGTGCACCGCTCTCGTCGACAGCAGGCCCCTGAGCGGGGGCCGCTGCGGGCACCGACACCGCGGGGGTCACTGCAACCACGTCGGGCACGGCCGCGGCCGGAGCGAGTGCTGCGGAGGCTCCGCCGGAGGCACCCCAACCCGGGAGCGCCGCGGCGTGCGACAACTCGGTCACGCGCGGACCGCCGTGGGTCATGGCCACGTGCTGAGCGACCAGCTCCAGCAGCGACAAGGCATCTCCGGCCGCGGCGCTCGACACAATCGCGCCCTCGAATGCCTCCGCCAGCTTGTCGCGGCGCTCCAGTGTCTGGTACGCCGCCGCGAGCTCGGGGTAGAACTCCTGTGCGATCGCGGTGTACTCCGCACGGGTGGTCGAGTACATCCGCTGGGGATTTCCCAGACGAGCCTGCGCCTCGCTGTCCATCAGATCGCCCAGCATGTCTCCCATGCGTTGCACCTCCGTCACGACTCCGTCGCTCAGGGTGTCTGCGAGCTCGAGCCAACAGCACAAGTGGCTCTTGAAGCGCGCGTGGCCGCTGAAGGCGAGCGCCTCGCGTGGCCGGGTCGCCTCGGAAACGCCAGAAACGACGCACTGAACGTCGAAGGAGAAGACCCACTGAAGGAGACGCTTCCAATTGAAGCGCCCATTCGAGACCATGTTGTCCGTGATCCATTGGTCCCGTGTGGGCGCATCCGCGAAGCGCTCTATCGGCGGGACTGCCCGCTCCCGGTCTCTTGACAGGCCCTTCCACGCTTCGGGGCACTTCAGGAGAGCGCTCTGCGAGATGGTCGTCGCGTCGGCGACGAGACTGCTCGGCACTAGCCCCCAGGGCGACCCCGTAAGCGAGAGCGCGCCCTCGACGGAGCTCAGCGAGCGAGGAAGAAAGCACACGAAGTCTCTCACCCCACGCGCCATGGCACCGCGAATGCCGGCCGAACGACCCGAGGCGCCCCGCCGGTACACCGTCGCCAAGTCTCCGGACTGAAGAGCGCATCCAGAGTGCCGCGTAGGAGACGTGCGCAAGACCGCGCCGAAGAGCTGCGAGCAATCTCTCTCGCGTGTCCTTGTTCTGTTCCGTCTCGGGGATACGCGCGACCTGCTCCTCCAGGAAGGCGCAGGCAGCCGCGTCGAGCCCCGCCGGCACGAGGTGGGAGGACTGCCGCGCCAAGAGGGAGAATTCCTCTTCTCCAGCGCCGAAGACGATCCCTGCGACTGTCCTTGCCGTCGGCACCACGTCGGCGACGTAATCCCCGAACCGCGTAGGCAACGTCGGCTGTGAGACCAGCGCGTACTCCGGATGGTAATGCCAGCCCAGACGATCGATGGCCTCCTCGGCGGCCTGCGTCGGCCCGAAGGGGGCAACGCGTTCTTCCTCGAGCCCGGTCGGCACCCAGCCCATCTTGCAGTGCCCCTTGCGAAGAGCGTCCGTGAGCATACGCTTGTCGGTCGCGCTGAGGTCCGAGGCAAGAGCCCCGATCTCGTAACGATACTCGCGGGCCTTGCAACGAACCTCCGGGACGAAGGTTTCCCTGACCACGCCTCCGACGCACCGCTCGCAGCCAGTAGGGGGCTCCCAGAGGACACCCGGCGAAGACGCCGCAACGCCGAAGGAGTGGGGCCACCCCAACTGACATGGGCACACACCCCCGGTTTTGGCAACGCACAGACGACGGAGATGCAGCGTGGCGTCCTGAGCCAAGTCGTCGCGCACCTCGATCTCCATGGGCTCCTCCTGGTCGCGGGCAGTCACGAGCCCAGGCATGTTGGAGTCGTGATTTTTTCATGACGTTGGTTATGTGATGATTGTGTGCGATTGTAATGATTTTGCTCGAACATGCGCCATGTGCATTAGGGGTGTAGCAACTAAACGCACCCCACCGCCTCCGCACGAGGGTCCGCCGAGGGCCGAAGCTAGCACGGCCTCCACCCGTCCCTCCTCCCTTCCTTCCCCCCTCCCTCCTTCCCTTCCTCCTTCCTCCTCCTCCACCTTCCTTTCCTCCCCCTCCTCCTTCCCTTCCTCCGCCCTCCGCCTCCTCCTCCTCCTCTTCCTGCTCCTCCTCCTCCTCTCCCCTCCTCCTCCTCTCCTCCTCCTCCTCTCCTCCTACCTCCTCCGCCTCCTCCTACCTCCTTCCTCCCTCCCTCCTCCCTCTCTCCTCTCCTCCTTCCTCACCTCCTCCCCCCTCTCCTCTCCTCCTTCTCCCTCCTCTCCTCCTCTCCTCTCCTCCTCCCCCCCCCCCCCGCCCCCCCCCCCCCCCCCCCCCCTGCTCCTCCGCGCCCCCCTCCTCCTCCTGGCCAAGAAGAGGAGGGAGAGGGGGATGGGGCGCGAGGAGGAGGAGGAGGAGGAGGAGGAGGAGGAGGAGGAGGAGGAGGAGGAGGAGAAGAAAGAGGGGGGGGAGGGGGAGGAGGAGGACGAGGAGGAGGAGGACGAGGAGGAGGAGGACGAGGAGGAGGAGGAGGCGGAGGAAGGGGGCTCGAGGAGGAGGAGGAGGAGGAGGAGGGGGAGGAGGAGGGTGGAGGAGGACAGCAGCGCCCGCAGCGTGAGGATCCGAAACCACCTCGAAGTCGAGGGGCCCCAGGTGGCGGGCCGTCGGTGCCTCTGCAATGTGCGTGAGCGCGGCCATCAGGTACTGCGGATCCTGGAAGGCCTCCACGTCCAGTCCTTCGAGCCAGTCGTCCTCGCCCTCGGAAGTCGCCTCCTCGCACCCCTCCGTCGTCGCCGGCGTAGGGCTCGGCGGGTGCTCCGCCTCGGCCGCCGGCTGCTCGGGCAGCGCAGGCAGCTTCTCCCTCGCGAAGTGCATCGCCCCCGAGGCCAGAGGAGGGCGTTGATCCCCCGTCTTGATGCGCTCCTTCTGGGGAGAAGGTGAGGCTGCACCGGCGTAGGCCCTGGGCGTTATGGGGAGTCAGGCAATCGCTCCAGAGCCTGTGAAACGCATTGGCGAAGTCGCGAGGCGTCAGAGCTTCGCGGGCCTTGCGAATCGGAACGGAGACCGACTCCTCGCAAAAGAAGGGCACCAACTCCTCGTCGAACTCCCAAAACTGCCCCCTGCCTGAGCCGACCCGCAGATGGAAATCGCTCTTCGCAACCGGAGGGTGGAGGCCGTGACCGGTCTTCAGTTCGCCCTCCGGCATCTTCGTGTAGACGCGAAAGTCGGGCTCGTAGAAGCTCCCCTCCACCGTCAGAGCGCAGATGACCTTGGTCTCGCCCTCGGTCGAGCGATAGAAAACGCGCTCCCAGGCCGAGTCCCCGACGGGCATAAGCACGACGATGGGGCGACCGAGTGCAGAGGCGCCGCCTTCGAACGATCCTTCGCGCACGAGCTGTAGCCAGGGTCGGTCGAGCGCTGAATCAACGCCAGCGGCTCGAGCGACAGCGCTTCTGGAACGTCGGAGGGTTGGGCCTCCTGCTGCGCATAGCCCATAGGCGGCGGAAGAAGGGGGCCCGCCGGTCGAGCCTCGCCCACCCGGCGAATCTCGCCCCCCTTCGCCCCGCGCTCCGGCGAGGCCGGGGACCGAGCGCACGCCTTGGGGCGCGCGCTGTCCTCCACGAGAAGCGTAGAGGCGGGCGTCGGCCAGGGCCCCAGGATGCCTTGCGAAGGCACCAGGCCGCGAGCACGAGCGTACGCCGCGGCCCCGCGTTCCTGCGACCTGCCCGGGAAGGGAACCGTCTCGTCCTCGGGGCTCTCCGACGGGGGTGAGATGTCCTCCTCCGAAGTATGGATCGGGGAGAAGCCCGCAGCATCGCTTACCTCCTGGTGGCTGCGGGAATTGGCAGGGGCCCCAGGTAGAGAATCGTCCGACGGAGCGGCCTGCGAAGCAGGCATCTCGTCGGCGGCCAGTTTCGAGCTCGCGCTCGCCGCAGGAGACCCAGCAATTGCCCCGGCGGAAGGCGGATCGGCCATCGTCCAAGACGACGGTCGTCCCGCTCTGATACCCGCCTGGCAACGCGGCTTCAGCCACCAACGCGGTTGAAGTGGGGGCCCTAAGCCGTTGATCGGCTGGCGCGAAGTACGCAGCTGTCCCAGCTCCCAGAACCCGAAGATTCTTGAGCCAAAATGGCTACGGAGAGAGAGAGAGAGAGAGAGAGAGAGAGAAAAAAAAAAGAGAAAACAAAGAGAGAGAGAGAGAGAGAGAGAGAGAGAAGAGAAGAGAAGAGAAGAGAAGAGAAGAGAAGAGAAGAGAAGAGAAGAGAAGAGAAGAGAAGAGAGAGAGAGAAGAGAAGAGAAGAGAAGAGAAGAGAAGAGAAGAGAAGAGAAGAGAAGAGAAGAGAGAGAAGAGAAGAGAAGAGAAGAGAAGAGAAGAGAAGAGAAGAGAAGAGAAGAGAAGAGAAGAGAAGAGAAGAGAAGAGAAGAGAAGAGAAGAGAGAGAGAGAGAGAGAAGAGAGAGAGAGAGAGAGAAAGAAAGAGAGAGAGAGAGAGAGAAGAGAGAGAGAGAGAGAGAGAGAGATCGGACAAGTAGGCGGACCAGGGTCCGTCCGCGAGGCGCACTGCGGTGCGACAACTCGCATGCACTATTTGCGGCGGTGCAGCCTTTAGATACGAGGGCGGGCAACAAAAACCCCCTCCCCCGGCGCAGTGCGACAGACGCTACAGACGGCGGACAGACGATGATGATCTCACCTGTCAGACCGCGTAAGGAAAGAGGCCCCAACAAGAAAGGCGACGTGCTGACACGTGGCTAGGCGGCTTGGCAGACCGCCAGTTGGGCGCTTGGCCGCTAAGCGGCGCGCAGTGACGGGGCACCCCCCGCCCCCACGCCCTGACACCGTGGACGCGGAGCCACGCGTACACACGGGCAGGCAGAAAGGAGGAGATTAGCGCGGGGCACCAGGTGGAGCGCCGCGGAACGATGACAGCATAGCTTGGATGGTGAGTGACGGCACGGCACCATCGGGCGAGGCCGTGAGCAGCTCGGCAAAGGCTCGCCCAGCGCTGTGGAGGCGCTGGAGTAGAGGGCCTTGGCGAGCTTGGGCGGCGGCGAGGTCCGCGGCGAGAGCAACGCACCTCTGCTGGAGAGCAGCCATAGCCTGGGACAGCTCGGTTTCGCGGTCGGTGAGGGGTGGCTGCTCAGTGCCAGCAGCCGAGAGCCTCGAGACAGAGGCGAGGTCCTCGGTACGCCTGTCCAAATGGTGGACTAGCGTAGTGCGGCACCCTGTACGCTGTCGTCCGTCACCCTTGAAGGGTGACTGGAGGGGCACACGCGACCCCAGGGCTGGAGCCGCTAGGGCCACGCCCCGAGAGGTCGGGAGAGCCGCTTCCTCTCGCTCAGCAACGATGGAAGCGTGGACGGGGCACGAGGGCCTGTCTGGTTTAGTGCCCTGCGGGGGGGCTGAAGCCGCCCCCGCGGGCTGCCGCCGGTGGGGGGGCGGAGTGGTTTGCGCGGTGGGACCAATCATGATGCCGTGCAAGGGCTCTGAGGTCGGTCGCGTAGAAGGTTGGCGTCTCGGTAGGGCGGCATGGTCGGCAGCGTGTGGTATCGGCGGTGCGTCCTCTATGCCACTCAGTCCGCGGGGGTCACCCAGGTCGTGGTCGGCGTCTTGGCGGTGGCCGATATCATCGTATGTGGGCGATGTCGCTCTCGGGGACGGAGTCGCAGTAGGGATCGAGAGGTTGCCCGACGGGGCAGGGTTTTCGCTGGCTGGTCCGTCGTCCAAAGCGTCCGATCCCCCACCGAAGCTGAACAGGTCATCCTCCTGTTCGTCAGCGTCTTGAAAGTGAGCGGCGTTGTCATGTGGGTGCGCTGCCGCTCTCAATGGCGGAGTCGAGGGCGCCGTGCGGGTGCCCGACGGGGCAGGGTTGGCGCTGGCTGGCCCGTCGCCCAGGAAGTCAAGGCCCCCACCAAAGCCGAACGGGTCGTCCTCCTGTTCGTCGAATATCGCCCGTTGGGCCTCGGCCCAGAGCTCGTCCGGGTTCTGTGGGATGTCTGGTCCAGCCGCGGGTGGTGCCTGGTCAGACAGCAGGGGATTTGGTTCCATTTTGTTGAGTTCCGCAGCTGTGAACCCAGCCCTGCGGTGTGGGAGGGGGAGTGTACGGTGTCTACGCTCGTAGATGGCGACAGCGACTCCATGAAGCACGGTCGCTTGGCGATGTCGTGTTTTGGCAGCTTCGACAATGTCGTCTGGAAGGTTATGAGTACGTGCCGCCGTTGTGGCGAGGGCGTCAGCCTGACGATTGAACTCCTCCGCGATGGGCCCGATGAGCCCGAGGTCGATGCCCATGTCGCCCAGGTGGCTTGCGATTTTCTCGACGCGGAACATGTTGGGCTTGGCCATGACGCATCGGTGGATCTTTTCCCAGAGCTCCACGTGCGTGCCCTGCGGTGGTGAGTGTCCGTCGATGATACTTTGGAACCCATCGACCACCGCCTGGTTGTCCACGAAAACGTGTACGGGCCGTTCAGCACATGCCGTGAGGTGGACAATGGCGAGGGTCTCCGCAAGCTGTGCGTTCTGCGTAATGCCGTGAACGCGTGCACTGTAGTTCATGCGGTGGTCGATGCCGTAGTAGACGCCGTAGCCCGCTCGTGCTAGCAATGGGATGGCTTGGTTGGTGCATGCACCGTCCGTGGCAGCGTAGACCCATGTCCAACCAGTGTCGTGGTCAAGGTAGGTGGTGTAGGAGTCCTGGGCTGAAGCCGCAGGATCTCCCTCAGGTGGGGGCCGCGGTATGGGCTGAGGTAGCGGGTCCCTCGCGAGGTCGGCCTGCAGGTCGAGGAGGGCTGGGTCTTCATCGAAGAGCCCGCAGTGTCTTGTGTGCGGCGGAAGACGGGCCCACTGCTCGTCACTGATGAGGGTGGTGAGAGGGACTCTTTCTCGGGCCCAGCACTTGCAGTCGCGGACAGTGTGCTCCTGAGTTTCCTCTTCCTCGTCGCAGTATCGGCAGATGGGGCTGGGGTCAGCAGACGTGTTTGATCGGGATCGTCGCTGTTGGGTGTGGTCCCCGCCCGACAGGTAGTTCAGGAGGAGCGCCAGCTGCCAGGCATTGCATTTGGCTGCTCCTTTCGTTCGGGCGAGCCACGTGCTGGCGAAGAGGTCGAGGCCCTGTCTGACAGAGGCCAGGTGTCCAAGGTCATGACGCCGTGGCTTGATCTTTCTCAGAAAGGCTCTGCGTTGTGAGGCTCGCAGCATGTGAAGGAAGGCGTTTTGGGGTAAGTTCAGCCAACTGATCTGACAGCCCCAGTCGTCGTACATGATGCCAAATGTGGGCCAGGTCCAACGGAGCTGCTGAAGCGTCTGGACAAGTCGTCCGACAGGTCCTCCCCCAAATAGGGTCTGAACGTGGTGTTGGAGATCCCTGACGAGACCGCAGAGAGTAGCGTCGCGGTTAACCTGTCGCCGCAGACACAGGAAAACTTCACGCTGCGTAATGGCGTCAATCTCCAGGGCGTGTCCTGGGACGCACACGGCCATGAGAGTCCAAAACTCGACCCACCTGTTTCCCTTGGGGCGGATAGCCGCCTTAAGGGCATGGTTGTAGGCAGTTTTGACGGGGCCTGATGGGGCTTGAATGTCGGTGCCCGTGGTACAGACGCTGGCAGCAAGGGAACGGGCGTGCCGCGCCTTAATAAGCATCGGTGATGGGAGCTTGCCAATGCGCGGCAGGCGACTAGTCGCCCTGCGAACACGGGCGTCAGCGGTGGCCGTGAGGTTAAGCGCGGCTGGAGCCGGCGCTGCCTCGGCGTTGATGTAACTCCCGACGAGCTTGAAGGAGTCGACCACGCGTAAGGGCCGTTCCGCCAGAGTGAGCTGGGTAACGGCGGTGTGAAGCTCGTCGGTGAGCGCCCACCCCGCCACTTTGCCAGGGTGAATGCGTTGACCTGAAAATCGATCAAACTTGGCGGTTTCATCAAGAGATTTCTGCAACTCAGGCGCGGTGTGAGTAGTGGAGTTGCTGTCGTCAACAAAGGTAGTGCTGAGTGATCGCGGAACGTATCGATGCTGTCTCTTGGTCCACACACACATGAGCAGCTTAATGTCGTCCAGGGACCAAGAGCTTCCCTGGAGGTGACCGTTTGTCCTGGCCAGTTCCTTAGAGTACGCACCGTTCATGCGGATGTAGCGTTTGTGGCGACTGTAGAAGTTTCTGCGGACAGTAACGATGTCTTGGGGGCACCCCGCGTGAAGCGCAAGGTTAAGGCAGATGTCCGTGATGAGGTAGTCGAAACACTTCTGTCGGTCAAGGGCAGCCCCAGCTAAGGGAAGGAGTAAGGCCCTGGCGTGTTCGATGCGCAGGGCAAGAGAGGTGCTGACGTCCCCAATGGTAGCTTTGGGGACAGCGCCAAAGCTCGTGGCGTGGGTCCATCCTTTCCGCCAGTCCGTGAGGCTGCGGTAAGCTGGCGCTTCCCACGCATACATCCAAACGGAAAGCACCGAGAGAAGTCGTTGGTCCGTTGGGAGTTCGCCTCGGCCTTTTCGGAGGCACGGGTTTGGCACATGAAGGAGGGGTTCTGGGATGGTGCCAGTGCGTTGCATAGCGCGTAAGACGCTGGCGAAGAGGCGAAGAATGTCGTCGGGTAACTCCTTAGCCTCCTTAGTAGTCCAGCCGTCCAGTCCCCCCGCACGGCGCGGTGAACGGGTGCGAATAAAGTGGATGAGTTGGTCGTCGGTGAGGTGGAAAGGGGTAGCTGGTGATGGCGTAGGCAGCTCTTGTCGGTACTCGTCGTAGAAGTCAGCCCA